GAAGTACTTATAGTCTCTCTCCACCCCCACTGTTTTTGCATTTTCAAACCGCCCTACGGAACCACTATTGGCTTTGTGATAAAAATCACATTACGTATGTGGCTACACATGATTTTCACAACCAAGCCAACAGTGTTTCCACGGGGCAGTGTGAGGATGTGAGAACAGTGTGATGGTGGTGAGGCTACTTCTCCCTGCATGCTGTGGTTGTAAACAGAAAAGAATCAGGGTGCATCCGGGAGGCACAAAACTCCCATCCTGCATGTGATACAAAATCTCCAACAAGCATGAAGACTTTGTAATGTGTAGGTGGCGCCTCAGCTGGTGCCACTGAGCAATGATCGGGGAGGGGGGGATTTGGGGGGTGGAGCCTGGGGAGTGGCAGGACCTCAGTGGAGTAGAATGCCACCTACAAATAAGGACAGGGAAGATTCCCTTTACTTTACTGCTCTATGGGGGATAGTTATGCACTAACTCACCAGCTGTGCTGGACCATTTAAAGGGGAAAAGATTGTCCAGGTTGCTGATCAGAGAATCCCCCTGGTATGAAAACCACTGCCTTAAGATGTCTGTGTATACGGAACACAGCCACATAGGATAAAATTCTAGATAGAGCAGGATGACCAGATATATGTTGGCAGGTCACCAAAGCAAATGAGAGGAGCCTGTCATACAGCATACAGGAGGGAGTTCACATGGAGAAATCTCTTAGCCCGTATTGTGGCAAATTCTTTAGCAGTGAACATCAGGCAGTGGCTTTCAGAGGTCCAGAGAGGCAAAGAAAGAACTTTGCTGTAAGCATGTGATCTTTTGTCCCCATGTAGAGAACACAATGCAGAGTCCACCTGGAAACACTTATTTACTGATGCTGGCAAAAACAAAATGAAACAAAAAAATTTCTCTGGACTTAAAAAAAAACCCCTGTACTGAATGTGCTTTTGCATGATTCTAATCCATTAGCTGTTTTGTTTGGTCATTAGCTTACTAACGAAAAACATGAAACACAGCCAGTGAAATCCTGCAGACAGGGACCTTGGGAAACATCCCTACGGGCGAGCCAGAAGAACAAGCTAAAAACCACAAGCATTGTGCCTTCAGGCCTCCTTCTGCAGTTTGCTCCATAGATCAGGGTAAGACAACAACAAAAAAATCCAAACTGTTTCTCAACATGAGCTAAGCTGCAGCTGTTTCAAGGCCTTATTTATGGTAAATGGTGGCGGCAGCGGGGAAACCCTGTTCCGATCATTAGCGAGAAACAAAACATATCTGCTATATCTTTTCTTGCAAGCTGTTGCTCAGATCCTGGCTGGACCAAGGTAAAATGGATCAAGTAACAATCCAGTATTGTGATTTAACTGGTGAGTAATTTGTTTTAGCTCCTCTTCTGTTCTCACTGAGGGCTGATCTTTTAAAATAAATCACAAAGTAGAATGCTTCCAGGGCTGTATCTCATTTGTACTGCTTTCAAAGAGCTCAGGGAGGTGTACGTGGTTCTCCTTTCCTTTTGTTTCTCCATATAGCAACATTGTGAGGTAGGCTAGCGACTGTCATGAGACCAATGAAATTCATGGGTCTTTCCAGACCCCTTCCAACACACTAGTCAATACACTACAGTGACTACACTGCACTGATTCCAGGAGGGGGCTGGCCTGTTGGAATGCTCACCGTCCATGTAAAAACTTTCCTGCATATTCAATGCCATTTTTCAGTACTTTTAAAGCCAGTACATATTCTTCCTGGTACCTACAATGTGGAAGTTGTGAGTCTAAGCCTCACCAGTGCACTCGCTTAGGGGAAAAGACTATGGCTGGGGTCACATTGGTGGCTTGGCGCGGCACAGGTGCTGCTCTTTGCACCGGAACAAGTAATAGCAGGAAGGGGAGATCAGACAGT